CTTGGGCAGAGTTCTGAAGGCATTTTAAAGTGATTATTACACACACGGTGCACTGTTGAAAATATAAAAGAAGGAGTTGAAAAATGGTCCTTGTCTAAATAAGCTTAATAGTCCAACTTGTTTTGGATACACAATCCATCTTAAAATGTTTAACTTGAAAAGTTCCCAAAATGACTCCTTGGCCATGAGTTGTGGAGACTGTTGTAAGCTTTTAGTCAACTTAATATTTTTTTTGCCTGAATTGTAGATTCCCCTTTTCCAGCTAGTAAACAAAATACAAATACAGAGGTGTATACGTGTCGTAACAGGAATGTAAGTATTTCTTAAGGTGTGGAGCGTACATTCTGTGAAGCCAGCTACGGAGGCACAGGTGACTGTCATCAGCCATTACCTGTAATGAGCGACCATCATAGAGATGGGGCACATGCCTTCTTGAAATTGTCTAGAGTCTAGACCAGCGGTTGGTCAACTTTTCTGTAAAGAGCTAGATAGTAAATATTTTACACTTTGTGGATCATGTGGTCTTTGCTGCAATGACTCAACTCTGCTGTCATAACGTGACAGCAGCCTCAGACAGCCTATAAATGAATGGGTATGGCTACGTTTTCCAATAAGGCTTTATTTACAAAAACAGGTTGGCTGGCTAGATTTGACCCATGGGCGGTGCTTCATGGGCTGCCGTAACTTTCATACACAGCNTGCCCTCTCTGGCTTCCCCTCCCCTCCCCTTCCTCATCTCCCTCCCTTCCTTCCTCCTTCTCTCTCCTTCCTTCCTACCTTCTTTCCTTCCTTCCCTCCACCCCCACCCCCACCGCCTTGTAGCAAATGTGTTTTGCAGCTGAATTTATTTGGACTCTCATCAGAGTCTATATTTTCAGCTAGTTGTTACTTTACCAGGCAGTGTCTGATGTGTATATTGCTGAATCATTACCCTGGAGTATTTCTAAATTAAAGGCTCTTCTGTCTTGGATCCAGGGGGAAATTTTATAGTCATGGGGTACAGAAGTGAAGGAAAAAATCAAGATATCTAAGGTCCCCAAGTAGAAAAACAGAACAGAGGAAAACGGCATGAAGCCAGAGGTTTATCTATTAAATTTTAGCTCTTAAATGTGTCAACATCTATTGATTTTTTAATAATGTTTACCATCTTTGATCTAGTATTCCTCATTTGATAATCCAAGAAAATAATACTGTAAATATTATCGCCAGAAATGTTTATTGCAGCCTTAGCTCTAATAGCTAAGAGGAGAGTACTAAATGTCCAATAATAAATGGCAAAGTAAATTATAATTTAGTCAGTGGAGTATGAAATTGCTATTAAGATGTTTATAATATCATGAAAACATGCATATGTTCAATGCTCGGCAGACAGAGGGGGAGGGCTTGAGGTTGGGGAGTGATGGGGAGTGAGTGGGCTTATTTGGTGTCTGAGATGAGGTTGGGACGGTGGTGTGTGAGCACCTGTCGGAGGCCTTGAGGCCTCTGGTCAGAAGTTTGGGATCCTCGCAGGAAATAATTAGGTGTGTCCGATTCCACGGTGTCATTTTGCAAAAAAGAATTCTTACTATTAGAGACGATGAGAGATGAGTGGAGATGAGCAGATATAGTGAATCCAGGCATGGAATAAACAGAGTTTGATAAGGGCAATGCTGATCTTGCTGATGAAGACTGATTGGTATTGGACATCAACAATGAAGAGCTAGTAAGAGTCAAGATTTTTAAAACTCAAAATTAGGAGAAAAAGTTCTTGCTAATGGGGACTCTGGGAAAATGTTGACTTTGTGGAGATCAATCAGCTTGGATGGAGATTCATATAAATGTATGGAGATTTGTCTCATAGCCACCATTTACTGAGCATTTACTATGTGCTCAGCCTTGTACTAAGCTACACACACACACACACACACACACACACACACTTATGTAATATTTAGAAGAATCCCGAGGAGTAGTGGCTAAGATCCTAAGTAGTTGCTGAGAAAACTGATTAAAAGCTCAGTGATTTGATTGGGGTTTACTAGCTGGGCAATAGAGTGATGCTGCTAGTTGGCCAGCAGGGGGAGGGGTTGCTATATCTGACCACATAATCTGACAAATCAATTTGACAATTTTGTTTTCCAGACTAAGATTTTTGAGGAAATAAATTGAACACAAGCGTGTTTATTCAATTTGAGATAAAAACTAAGCATCCAGAGTAAGACACATGTAAATAAGTGTCAAAGGGAGTTTTTGTTTTGTTTTGTTTTGTTTTTAAATATGCTTCACCCAGACCCCAGCCACTCCTTCAGCTGAGGACAGTGACTCTGACTGTGAGTAGATGTGTCCCCTCTAGGAATACATAGAGAAGAACAGTATGGCCAGACAGAGGAAATATATAGAAAAAATGTAACATAGGAAAGAGAAATGTCAGTACAGCATTGTATGGAAGGTTATAAATAATACAGAGAAGGTCGTCCGCTGTTGGGGAGGTTCTAACGACCGTGAATATTGACACAGACAGAATCCAATGGATTGGCCTCAGAAGTCTTTTTGAAAACTTAGTTAAATTCAGGAATATAATATGCCTTCATTTTATTGCTCACAACATGTGACGAAGGATTGTTTTAACTTTTTACTAAACTATTTCAGAGATGCCTTCTACGAGAAACCAACATGACTTCCCGCTATGAAAAAGAATTCGTGGAGGTAGAAAAAATTGGGGTTGGGGAATTTGGGACCGTCTCCAAGTGCATTAAGAGGCTGGATGGATGTCTCTATGCGATAAAACGCTCCATGAAGCCTTTCGCAGAATTATCAAATGAGTGAGTACCTTTGAAATGTACTTGAAGTACAAACTTGGATTTGGAAAGCTTCTTCTTGTCAAAATATTTTAAGTAATAGCACTGATGTCATTAAAAACATACCATTTGCTGCTTTTTAAAATCACCCCACCCCCTCTATTATATGTTGTCTCACATTCATAACCTTTCTGAGTTTTGTAGATCAGAGATAAGTTATTTCCTAAAATATCCTGTGATCACTTCAGATCATGTGTGGGGTTATATGTGTGTGTGTTTGTGTGTGTGTGTGGTTTGTGGCTTTTACTACTGGTCTTACTGCCTATTTTTTTTTTAATAAATAGATATATGGAATGATCTTCTGGTGCCTGTTTAGTGAATCAGAACTAATGCCAAGTAGGAAGTTATTTGTTAACTCACTGGTTTATCTCTACTTTGTATTAATAATGAACTCAATAGTCAAGTTTTAAAGACTTTAAGCAGAGAAACATTAACAGAAATTTAATTTTCATCCCCATAAGTCATTTTTCTTTCTTTTCACAAGGAAAACAAACATTTTCAGATTCAGCCAATGCTTTTTTTGTGAACTGTGGGGATATAATACTTATGCTGAATCTGAAATTGCAGACTGTGGAATTCTTCATTTTTATACTGAAACTCAACGAGCATAATATTTTGCTTTTTTGTGTGTTGGATTTCCTACTCTATCATGAATATCTCTCTCCAAGACTGTCCCTGTGACTACATCATATTGGCTGAGTTTAATATTGACTCTGTCTCCCCTTCATAGAGAAGGTAGAGGGCCTATCGCCAAGTCAATGGTGGCCATCTTGTTAAGCCTATCAAGGCTTTTTGATTATGATACAGTGCATTTAAGATCCAAAACATGTCTGCTGTTGAGGCAGTGACCACCTAAGACTTCTTTTTACTTATGCCATGTTTAATCAAGAAAACCATGGCCTTTGGTTCCAAGATGACCAAGATTCTACTTGTTGGTCTACTATCATCAGCTTGGCTTTGGGCTAGTCACTGAACTTTCTAAAGCCTCCATCCTTGCCACTGTATCTTACTGAGTAGTTATGAAAATTAAATGAGATAAGACAGTAAGCAAGCAGTGAGCATTCCATAAGTGTCCTGCCATTGTGAATAATGCTTCATAGCTTGTCCTTTAAAAACGTTTGTCTGTATATTATCTTGATTCATTTTTCTCCATGCTTTTCTGTCTCTTAGGAATTTGGCTTTGCATGAAGTTTATGCTCATGCAGTGCTTGGCTATCACCCCCACGTGGTGCGTTACTACTCTGCGTGGGTCGAAGATGACCACATGATTATCCAGAATGAATACTGCAATGGTAAGTATGGGGATTAATATCTATGGAGAGGGAGATGAACTTTTAAGTCTTCAGAAAAAAATCTTTGCCTATTCCTTGTAGTTTATGCCAGGAATGGCAGAGTCATACCTAAAATGTCTGCGCCGCAGTTTTGCTTGGAGGCAGGAAGCTGGAGAAAATAGCAGTGGAAAAGGAATTTCATGTTTATGCTGTTACACCTTTCTTTCCAAGCTGATGTGTAGCTGATACATAGAAGTATCACTTCCTTCACGCTTAACACAAGAGATAGAACTTTTACCCTAGTAGTTTGAATAGTAAATCATCCTTTTACCATTTGCTAGGTACTTTAAGAGATGCAAGCCATGGTCCCTACCATTTTGGGAGGAGGGGTGGTAAATTTATACAGCCAACTTTTGATTAATTTTCAAGTGGATTCTTTAATTTGGGGATTGCTCATACTCTTTGCTGCTTCTTACCTTTGAACTTTAGTGTTCTCACCAGAGTAGGAGCATGGGGTGGGGTGATGGGACTGAAACTCAGCGACTTCAGGTCTGTTCTCCTAGGTCCTTCAGGACCATACATACAGTAACTGGTAAAACTATTTTCCTGGGCTAACTCACAAGGAGTGGTCCTCTGGTTTACCATGATTTCTAATCCATGATTACGGGGTTGACATAACAGCAGTTACATGTTGTTATTCTTGGAAATATTTTTCATCAGAATGTTCAGTGGTAATGTAGAAAAGTGCTACCGAATTGAATAGAAGCTTGCCATCATTTCAAGAGTAACAATCCATATTCTGGCAGGGTAATACTGGATAACGGCATCCCTCCTCCCCCAACATTCCCCTCCCCCATATACACCCACACCGAGTTTCTTTAATAGTACAGTCTGTCTTTGAGTAAATTCAGCATCCACCAAATAACCCTGAGGATGTGCGTCCAGCCTGCCTGTTGGGGACAGAGATCAGTGATAAAGCTTCATTCATTACTGTGTAAATTAAGTATACAAGTAGGTAAGTAAATGACAGTATGAATTGCTAGAAACACAGAAAATGGTACACATATCCTGCAAAATAATGATATGGCATTTCCCTTGGTGTTTCCTTATAGCCTGATTTCTTTGTCGCCTTACCTGTAAACTTTCGGTTTTTTCCTCTCATAAACTCACCCTAAATCCCTTTTTCTAATATCTCTTTGGGATAAAGAATGGACCCCTTCCTTATACTTGTGATTGAAAGGTTGAGCCTTTTCTTAATCTTCTTGTCTTCCTAATTTTCTCTTATCATAACCTGAGATTCCCTATTCCTTTCCTCCCTCTCTATAGAGAATGTTGGCTTCATTTCCATGACTTTTAGCCACTACCGTGACTTTTAGCTGCTAACAAAGATAATGTCAAATAACAAAAATTACTCAATAAAGCCAAACAAAACTGATTTGGGGCAACATAAAGATTTCAAATTTTCAAAAAAGAATAAGATGGAGTGATTGTTTCTATGACAAATCATCTCATTCTTTTCACCATTTGAATACCTTTATAGGCTTAACACTGTATTAAGCTCTAGGGTGAGACAAGGTAAATCCTTATCTTCAAGAAACTTGATTCCACTTGCTCTGTTACAGTGAATACCCAAGAGACAAGTAGGCGCAAAGCCAGAGGGTACAACTATGGATAAAAAGGGTTCAGAGGGGATGGATGTGAGTGAGCAAGAGGCAGCATGGTGTGGTGGAATGGGCCAGGGCTTCAAAGTTGGGCAGACGTGGGTTTAAAACCCAGCTCTGCTGCATACTATTTATGTGATCGCTGGGATGTCACTTAATCTCTCCGAGTAGAGAGTCATATTTTCTTAAGGGAGTAGTTTGAGAATTAGCAACCATCTATGTCAAATGCTAGCACAGTGTCAACACCTGATCCATAGTAAGACCTCAGTAACAGTTGTTTTTACTGAGAGAATCTCATAAAGGAGGTAAGACTTGAAGAAGACCCTGCAGAAGGATCACTAGACTTCATTAGCTTCAGGGAAGGAGAGGGAAGACATCAGTTAGGGGAACAGCCTGCAGACAAAGGGCATGATGGTGCCGGGAAAGGGTCCAGCCTAGCAGACCATCAGGAGGCTAACAGGACTGAGCTGAGCCCCCAGTAGGAAACAAGACAGCAAGATAAAGTGTGGGGAGGCTATAGAGGCCTCAAAAGCCAGACAGGGGATTTTGGAGTTCTCTTCTTAGGGAAATAACAGACTATGGGGAATCACTGTTTACTCATCATGGCAGTGCACTAACTTCACCAATTAAAATGCAACTTTGATTTATGAAAATGTGATTCACACACATTGGACCTTGCAGATGTGAACTGATTGTGGAAAATAAAGCATGCCCTTATACCTTGTGTTGTTTGTAGTTACGGATAAGCCATGTTGAGACTGTGCCCTGGGGCTCTACAGGATAAGCCCAAAGTGTTCGTAAGGTAGCAGAGTAGCGAGCACCTCATTCCGTCTCACTTCCCCACCCCTGCATCCCCTACCCCTCCCTCTTTCTCTTCTCTTCCTCCTCAGGCCCTGTCTCCCTACGCCCACCCTTACCCTGGTACCCCCCAGCCTGTCACAGCAGTCAGAACGGGACATATACAGCTATGGTTTTAACTCAGATTATAAATTAGGTGATTTGGATCATTTAGATGATAGCTGCTAGAGATGAGCAGTCGTCTGATTTCCCCTGCTGTCCCTCCTGAGCCCTGAGCCCATTAAATGTTTTCTCCTCCTCCCCCACCCTTGCCAAGATCCCCGACAAGTCACCTCTGGGTCAGCCTCAGACATCGGAAGGCTTTCAGTAGTAGGTTGATTCTGCAACTACCAGGATTCTATTTGACTCACGATGGGACGATTAATGGCTGCCTAACAGCAGTATTCTCTTGTGCGTCTTCTGCCACTGAAGTTTACAGAGCATGCTCCTCTAGAAGGGTGGGCCTCACATTTGTCCCAGTGATGTGACATCCAGGCGTCAGTGTCCTCTGTCAAACACCATGAACACTGGTTATATTTTCCACCAAACAGGGAACACTTTACCAGCAGAAAAACATGCTAGTGTGGTAGGCAACAACATGAAACCAAGATTTGTGCGATGACAAATGTATGAGCAATATATTCTGTGGAACTGTGGGTGTGCTTTTTACATTTTATTGTTAGAAGGCATTTGCTATTTGTTTGGGTATCTGTTAGGCCTCATGAGCAGACAGGAAAACAGATATATTTTTCTTACATTTTTTTTTTCTGCTAAGTGGGGCAAGTACCTTTATTTTGTCTAATGGAAGGAATTCAGCACCTCCTCTCATGAAGATGGTATGAGAAGAGCTGCCCAGAAGCTGGTGGTTTCCTTCTAGGGCACAGCACTGGCAGTCACAGAGCCCACCTCAGGGGGCGCCTTGGATTATGGAGTTAACGCCCCAGGGTAGTTGGATGAGATAAGCAGGGATGAAGATTACAGTTCATTCAGTATTGCTATGTCTATAAACCCATACTTCCTTGTTAATACTATTCAGAAAAGAACAGCTAGTTATGCTCTTCTGTAAGAGGTGGACAATCAGCTTTAGCTGATAAAGATATTCAAATATCTTTGTATAATTGGGTACTTTTCAGGAACTTCTACTGCAAATTAATTATTATTCGGCTGACTTTAATATTGCCTACAGAGCTTCTAAGTGATTAAAAGTGCTGCGAGCACTGGTCTAGTTACCCTTACTATAATATATACCTGTAGCTCTTCAGAGGATTAGAAATATCCCTGCTTAGTACCTACAAGAACACCTTAAAGGGTTCCTAAGTTCCCCCAGGATGCTTCTTTCTTTCCGTGCCTATTACAGGATCCTTGACTAAGTCTTTCTCGTCCCTCTGTTGCTAGGATAGACATTTAGTTCAGAAGATATGTATTACATGCCAGACCTTGGGAAGGCGAGGATAAGAGCACAGAGCCTACCAGGGACACACACGTGCTAGTGGGTGTGGGGGTGTGAGTGCAGCCCCCCCCTCCTTGTCTCACCTCTTAACTTCATCTGCAAACTTAGTCTCGAGGGGACTTCATTATTAACAAGCTCCAGCACACTCTTTATTTACTTATCCTTCCTTTCTAATTAATGTCATCTGAAGTACATACACTCTTTTCTAAGAAGGTTCCCAGAAAAAAAA